AGTTAATATCTCGGGAACCACGGAGTCTAGGAGGCTGAAATTTTAGGGTAATGGCCCACTGCCCACGCTCAACCTTGCCCATTAAATTCAGCCTTCCCATATCCGCGGGTAACAAGTACGGTCCTGTAAAAATTTTAGCGGGTGAACTATTAACTCGGGAATCACGGAAAGATATTCACCCTTCAAGCTTTCTAATTCAACTTTCATGCACTGGTGCGTGATATTTTTAACTGTTTTGCAATGTTTGAACTATTTTTGCATAGACTAAAGTACAAAGCAGTGAAAATCATTAATAGGCAATCGCTCGATGGGCTGAATTGCACAAAACGCATGATCGCACCGGCTAGTCTGGTGCGCGTTGCTATTTATTTGCATTGCATAGCTGCAAAAAACGCATAAAAAGAGAAGTGCCGAGCTGGTAGCCTCTTCAGGTTGGCCCATCAAGCACTGGCCAAAGCAAATAGCTACTTCGAAAGAGTTCTTTGTGCAACATAGGCACGGTGAATTCAAGGCACTGGAATTCCAGCAAGGCTCAGCATAAACTAACGCACCTGTCCATATAATTGAGCAAATTGATGAGCAGCAGCACAGCAACCGATGCGCACTTTCGCTTGGAGGAGAACAGCGATGCGCGCAACTCGACGTCATCCTCGTCCATCATCGCGCAGCTCCTGAAATCCCTTCGGCCGAATGACCGCCCGCTGCTCATTCTCAGGCACACTTTCATCCCTCAGAACTTAGCAGCAGCACCTCCTCAGCCAACGACAACCGATCCGTAGCAACGTAGTTCCATGAACCCTGACCCAGTCAAGAGCCCGGGAGCCACAGCATATGCGCACGCACAACCACGAACAGATTGGACCATAATTAAGCAGCCGCTATGCTCCAGGAGCAGTTACCAAAACTCAGCAATTACGGCAATTACCAAATCTCGGCACGGTCGGCCGCTGTAGCGCTGAAAGTCTTTTCTATTGTGTTCTCTGGCCAGGTACGATCAGAGAAGCGTGGAGTCTACTTTCATGCACATCTGCGGCCTACGTATGGACACGTGAAAACTCTGGCGGAAAGACGGCTAAATCAAGAACAGAAAAAGCTAAGAAGCCGAAATTTTAAGATGCCCCTACTCAACTGAGACCAAAAGATTTCATATTCACTTCCTCAGTACGTCCGTGTCGGAAGTCATGTGAAAATTGCTAAACCAAGGGCCAGAAAAGCAAGAAAGCTGAAATTTTAAGAGATTGTTCCTCGCCCATTTATAACTTAAAAGTCGCGTAGCTCTCACATGCAGGCATGTCAAAGTTTTAGCATGAAAATTGCTCCTGAACGGCCTGGTCATTTTCAACGAACGACCGTTCAACGGAAATTTTTGATTTTCCTATATGCAAAATTTGCGATGATTTACGCCAATAAGTACACAAATTAAATACAAGCAACAACCATTCATACGGTTAGCAATTTAACTGCTTTAGGTTTAATGCAACCCAGGCTGGAACGCACCAGGCGAGCCGGTGCGATCATGCGTTTTTGTATAAACTTTGAGGTACTCCATCATATTTCCTTGCCCTTGCCCCACCCCTCCACTCGATGTTTCCGCCCTTCCCTCGCCCCCGTGGACACCGATTTTCCCGAAGCGGCAATATTGTGCTACATTAAACAGCACAATTCAAAGCCGTATTCTGTGGGTACGGTAGGACGAGATATATGTAGTGCACAGGTGACAGTGAGCGGTCTAACGCTGCTCACTGTGGCGTTATGTGTGGGGTGGGGGTGGTTAGGTTTCATGGCGTTATGTACGGGGTGGTGGTGGTTCATGATGGGGGGGGGGGGGGGGGGGGGGGGGGGGGGGAGGGGGGGGGGG